AGGGTAGGGGTCATCCTCGAAAAGGTTGGAGGGAGGGGGTAAAGAAGGTTTTGTGGGCAAGGGGCTTGGACTTCCAGCAAGCGTGCATGAGCGTGTTAGATAGAAGTGAATGGAGACGAATGGTATTTGGGACATGTCGAGCTGTTGGAGAGTGAGCAGGGTAATATTTAGAATATTTAGTGAAGGGATTCAGGGGAACCAGTTATTTTTATATAGCCGGACTTGAGTCCTGGAAATTGGAAATGCAATGCCTGCACTTTAACCCTTTGAGGGTCGACAGGCCCTCTCCGAAAATCGTTCTCAGGGTCGGCCAAATTTAAAAAAAAAAAAAAATTATTTTCTCTTATGAAAAGATAGAGAATCTTTTCCCGATCATAACGACACCAAAAGTTTGAAATTTGATAGAAAACTTACGGAATTATGCTCTCGCAAAGTTAGCGGTCTCGGCGATGTTTACGGATCGGCGATTTTGCCCACTTTGAGCCCCATTTTCGGCCAATTTCACTGTACTAGTCGACAAAAAACATGAATATTTCGCTAGATCTCCTTTTTTTTCTATCGAATGGGTGCATGAAACACCCATTTAAAAATTCAACTATCCAGTACAGTGGTCAGAATTTTAGCAATTTTCCCAAATTTTTCACACAAATTTCAAAAGATGCCAATTTCGGAATAGGGTCCAGAATAAACAAGAAAGACTTCCTGGCACTAAATGACATTTCCTCTAGTCATTAGTCACGTCTCAAGGCCCCTCTTATATTCTTTTGCTTTCCATTTTGAATTTTTATTCTCACAAAAAATATAAGATTTACTGTTATGCAGACTACTGCATTAGTGTAAAAAATGGTATAAATATTATTGGTGCACTTGTGAAAGAATATTAGACTCACCAGTTGACGTGTATTGCACGCTTGGCACGATTTGTTTACTTTTGAAGTTTGGTAAAAATCGAACATTTCTGCTACTTTGAGCTCAATTTCAAGGCACCTTTCATTGTAAAACCAGTCAAAATCATCTCAATTTCAGTAATATGTCTTCCATTCTATAAAATGAGACCAAGAAAACTAGAATACAACAATAAATACCATACGAAGGCCTACCAGCTTTCTCCCACTAGATTTGAGGTCGCTAGAATTTATGAGTACTAGTACGTCAAAAACCCCTACGCGTAAGACGTACTAGTACGACGAAAACCCTCAAAGGGTTAAAGGAGGGGTTCGGGATATTGGCAGTTTGGAGGGATATGTTGTGTATCTTTATACGTATATGCTTCTAAATTGTTGTATTCCGAGCACCTCTGCAAAAACAGTGATTATGTGTGAGCAAGATGAAAGTATTGAATGATGATGACAGTATTTTCTTTTTGGGTCGCCCTGCTTCGGTGGGAGACGGCCGACTTGTTAAAAAAAAGAAAAAAAACTCTTCAACCTCACTGCCTATACTCTCAATACCCCATCTTTCTTCCAATAGTTGTTTATTTATTTTTAACATGTCAGCCTTCTCCCACTGAGGCAGAGTGACCCAAAAAAGAAAACACTTTCACCAGCATTCACACATCACTGTCTCTACAGAGGTGTCCAGATATGACAGTTTAGATGTCACCTCAAACAGCCAATATCCCAAACCCCTCCTCTAAAGTGCAGGCATTATACTTCCCACCTCCAGGACTCAAGTCCAGCTAACCAGTTTCCCTGAATCCCTTCACAAAATATTACCCTAATTGCCTCCTCCTTTAGTTTATAAACTTTCATCTCTCTCTCTTACTTGCTGATTCCATTCTTCTTGTGTCCCATCTACCTTTTACTCTCACTAGCTACAACTAAAAAATTATCTATCTGTGGCCCCTTTATAAACATGTACAGCCTGAAGTTTACTCATCAATCTTTTATCTACCAATACATAGTCCAACAAACTACTGTCATTACTCCCTATATCATATCTTGTATATTTATTTATCCTTTTTTTCCTAAAATATGTATTACCTATTACCAAACCCCTTTTAATACAAAGTTCAGTCAAGGGTCCCCATTTTCATTTACACCTGGCACCCCAAACTTACCTACCACACCCTCTCTAACCGTTTCTCCCACCTTAGCATTTAGGTCCCCCATTACAGTTACTCTCTCACTTGGTTCAAAAGTTCCTAAACACTTGCTTAACATCTCCCAAAATCTCTCTCTCTCTCTCTCTCTCTCTCTCTACACCCCTCTCTTCTTCAGATGAATACAAGCATATTATGACCCACTTTTTGCATCCAACCCTTAGTTTAACCCCTTCAGGGTCCAAGGCCAAAATCTGAAGTGGTGCCCCAGTGTCCAAGAATTTAAAAAAAAAAAATAAGTTATTTTTTCTTATGAAATGCTTGAGAATCTTTTTGTGAAGGTAATAAAACAAAAAGTACGAAATTTGATGGAAAATTGACGAAATTATGCTCTCGCAAATTTTGATGTGTCAGCAATATTTAAGAATTGGCGATTTTGCCGACTTTGACTCCCATTTTAGGCCAATTACATTATTCCAGTTGACCAAATTCTTAGCTATTTCACTAGTATTACTTCTATTCTATCGATTGAGCACAAGAAATCACCAAGTCAACTGTTTCAACTACAAAATAAAGTGATCGGAAGCTGGTAATTTGGCCAATTTAACACAAAGTTCAAAATATTCCAATTTCAAAATAGGGTCCAGAATAAACAATGTAGGTATTCCTGGCACTAAACTAACATTTCCTCGTTCATTAGTTTTCATTTGAGGCTTTACAAATAGATTCCATTTTGATTTTTTATTCACATAATGAATTTTTTATTCACACCAAAAAAATAGAAGATTTACTGTTATGCAATATTGTAATAATTGTATAAATATCATCACCACATTTGAGAATGTATATTAGACCCACGAGATGGCGTGTATTAGACGTGTGAGATCATTTGTTTACTCTTGAACATCAGCAAAAATTTAACATTTCTGCTACTTTGAGCTCAGTTTCAAGCAATTTCCGGAGCTAAAACCAATCAAAATCATCTCTATTTCTGTAATATGTCTTCCATTCTATCAAATGAGACCAAGAAATCGCAAATACAACTATAAAAAACATACAAAAAACACTGCAAAGTCGCTGTTTTAATCGAAAATCATGGTCTCAGTTTTTTTTCTCTCATTATACAGTGTGCTGCAGGATTTGTTTTATGTGGTGCACACATACCACATAGATGTATTCTCTCATATCTAGGCCCAAATGTATCACTCACAGTTTATCAGAGTGAGCTGAGCTCATGACGTAGATCTACGGTTTGGACCCTGAACGTAAAGCCGTAGATCTACGGGACGGACCCTGAAAGGGTTAATCCACACAATCCTTGAATTTATACATTTATATTTCCTCCTCTCCTTCCATAACTGATCCTTCAACATTACTGCTACCCCCTCCTAGGCTCTAACTCTCTCAGATACTCCTAACTTAATCCCATTTATATCTCCCACTGAAACTCCCTTACCCCTGCTTCAGCTTTGTTTTGCTTAGAGCTAGGACATCCAACTTCATTTCATTCATAACACTGGCAAACATCTTTCTTATCGTCTGTCCTACATCCACGTACATTCAAACATCCCAGCTTTGATTCACGAAATTATAATGACACGATTACAAATAAACCATGGCACAGGTGGGGACTGAACTCATGGAAAGTGAGTTATAAAACACTAGTTCAATCCCCACCCATACCGTGGTTTATCCCAGCTTTATAACTCTTTTCTTCTTCTTTCAACAAAACTGTCATATCCCACTGAGGCATGCGGGAGAAGGGGTTACTAGCCCATTTCTCCTAGCATTTTAGTTGTCTTTTACGACACGCATGGCTTATGGAGGAAAGATTCTTTTCCACTTCTTCATGGAGATGAAAGGAAATAAAAAAACAAGAAATATTTAGAAAAATAGAAGAAAACTCAGATTGGTGTGTGTACATATATGTGTACATGTATATGTAGTTAAAGGTAGTAGGTTGGTAGACAGCAACCACCCAGGGAGGTACTACCGTCCTGCCAAGTGAGTGTAAAATGAAAGCCTGTAATTGTTTTACATGATGGTAGGATTGCTGGTGTCTTTTGTCTGTCTCATAAATATGCAAGATTACAGGTACGTCTTGCTACTTCTACTTACACTTAGGTCACACTACACATACGTGTACAAGCATATATATATATATATACACACCCCTCTGGGTTTTCTGCTATTTTCTTTCTAGTTCTTGTTTATTTCCTGTTATCTCCATGGGGAAGTGGAACAGAATTCTTCCTCCGTAAGCCATGCGTGTTGTAAGAGGCGACTAAAATGCCGGGAGCAAGGGGCTAGTAACCCCTTCTCCTGTAAATATTACTAAATGTACAAGGAGAAACTTTCGTTTCTCCTTTTGGGCCACCCCACCTCGGTGGGATACGGCCGGTGTGTTGAAAGAAAGAAGCATATGTAGTTTGCCTAAGTGTAAGCAGAGGTAACAAGACATACCTTTTTTCTTGTGTGTATATGAGACAAAGAAAAAGACACCAGCAATCCTACCACTGTGTAAAACAAATACATGTTTCTGCTCTACACTCACTTGGCAGGACGGTAGTACCTCTCTTGGTGGTTGATGTCTACCAACTTACTACGTACAGAATTATTAGCTATACATATCTTCCTTTCCATGTAAAATTTACTGTAAAATCTGAAAAAAAAAAGTTATTGATTTACTTATCCACCATGTTACAAAATTAGTAATTTTTAAACATGTTGGATGTTTCCCACACAATCAGGGTACCACTGACCAAATATGCCAGAGGAATCTCAACATTTACTGTCATGGGTGGTCTATACAGTTATGCGATCCTCTTCAGACTATGAAATTCTCCAAATTCATTTCAATGCACCACAAGTCACGTAACTAAGGCTGTTTTTCCAGATATGTATGGACATCTCACCACAGTTAGTTAAATTACATTAAGAGAATATGGGGAATATTCACCTTGCCATCTCCTTCACTCTGTAACAAGCGATGCACGTAGTTGTCCCTCACATAATCCCAAACCCTATTATTTCCCACTTGCAGGGCAAAAAGATGGTCTGTTTCCATAAAATGTCTGAAAATAGTTACAAACCAATTACAATCATAAATAAGACTTGTTTATCATGCATGGGGTTTTACAAAAAATATTTTTAAATTTCCTTATAAATCACTTTACTAAAGTGATAAAAGAGCATTGTATGCTAGTAACTTATAACTGAAAAGTTATTACTAAAGAGAAATAAAAACCTCTGAATGCTAATCACTGTATTAATCATGTAGCACAGATAAATTCAGTTTATTTCTTCAATAAATCCTTGGTCACTAAAACATTATGCAACTAATGAAATACTGTACATTAATTATAATACTGAAGCTATTTCATGACAAAATTAAAATTCAAAATATGCATAATAAAGAGGGTAGAAAATGTCAGTAATTTAGAGCATACAGATACTTAAGCATCACTGACACACCTATGTGCATGGCCACCAACATATCGGCCACAACCCACATGACCACAAATAAGACAGATCCAGAGAGAGTCTGCTGATCCACACAGTGAACACCTTTGATCAGGTGTTTCTTCTGGAGTCTGACAGTACCGGCACACAGGACAGCTTTCCATGGAAAAAAAAAAAATGGTTAAGATTAAATAAACCAACTGAACAACAAATCTTTTGCTATTAGCCATCAATGTATCTTCACTTGCATTCTAACTTGTGCAATAAACACAAGGATGATAGATAAATAAAAAAAGTAAATATAACATATATTTTTTCTTTGTTTTTTTCAACAAGTTGGCCATCTCACACTGAGGCAGGGTGACCCAAAATAGAAACACTAACATCATCATTCAACATAATCACTGTCTTTGCAGAAGCACCCAGTTACAACAGTTTAGATATCACTCCAAACAGCCAATATACCAAACCCCTCCTTTAAAGTGCAGGAATTGTACTCTCCACCTCCAGGGCTCAAGTCCAGTTAACTGGTTTCTCTGAATCCCTTCACAAAATATTACCCTGCTAATACTCCAACAGCTCATTAGGTCCCAAAAACCATTCGTCTCCATTCACTCCATCTAACACACACACACATGCCTGCTGCATGTCCAAGCCCCTTGCACACAAAACCTCTTTTACCCCCTCCATCCTTTCCTGGGATGACCCCTATCCCTCCTCCCCTCCACTACAGATTTATACACCCTCTAAGTCATCCTACTTTGCTCCATCCTCTCTAAATAACCAAACTACTTCAATAACCCCTCGTCAGCCATCTGAATAATGCTTTTAGTAACTTCACACCTCCTCTTAATTTCCACACTACGAATTCACTGCATAATATTTACACCACACATTGCCCTTAAACATGACATCTCCACTGCCTCCGGCCTCCTCCTTGCTGCAGCATTTACAACCCATGCCTCACACCCATATAAGAGTGTTGGTACCATTATACGTACTCTCAAACATTCCCTTCTTTGCCTGGATGGATAATGTTCTTTGTCTCCAGAGATACCTCAATTTTATGATTTACCTCATCCGTCATAAACCAATCTACCTACAAGTCTTATATTTTTTTCAATACATCAGCCATCTCCCACAGAGGCAGGGTGATCCAAAGAAGAAAAACGCTTTCACCATCATTCTATACTTTCACCACCACTCACACGTAATCACTGTTTTTGCAGAGGCGCCCAGATACGACAGTTTAGATGTCACTCCAAATATATTTTTTAATAAGTTGGCTATCTCCCACTGAGGTAGGGTGACCCAAAAAAAGACACTTTCACCATCATTCACATTATCACTGTCTTACCAGAGGCACACAGATACTACAGTTTAGATGTCCCCAAACAGCAAATATCCCAAACATCTTTACATGTGCACATATATGCATGCACACACACACACCTGCAACCACAAATAAGTGTATGTGTGCGCGCTCACACACACGCACATGCACACACACGCACATGCACACACACACACACACACACACACACACACACACACACACACACACACACACACACACACACACACACACACACACACACACACACACACATAACACACCACACACACACACACACACACATACACATATAACTAATTACATTACTGACTCTAAATATGAAATGAAAGCATGATTTTGACTAATTCATATATTATACTAATTTTTAATATTTAAATAATGACTTGTGTATATCTATCTACAGCAATACCAAGTAATGAGTGCCAGGTGCAGCCCACATAAAACCTCTTTGGCTATGTTTAACCCATATGCTAATACTGTAGTGTTGAGTGTACATGCACGTACTGCACACAAAGAAGAGAATGGGCACAATGCCATGACAATGAGTGATGTAGGCAGTATGGTCACATACTGCTTGTTAAGGTTCAGAGATACAAGTTAATTCAACAATATACAGTACATCATACTCTTTTATGCATACTATCTAAAAGTATAGGTACAGGGGCTAAGTTCAGCCCTCAGGGGGTAAGCTAAATCCTCAGGGGGTAAGCTGAGTTCTCAAGAACTAAGCTAAGACCTCAAGGAAGGAATGAGCTCAAGCCATGGGGTGAGCTGAGCTCATGTTTCAAGGAATGTGGCACATGCACAATCTCTTCAAATATACAAGTTCAGAAAAATGTCTGGCATTGATTGACTGATTTAAAAAAATCTGGTGCTGCACTATCTGGACTTGTGTTAAGGATGATTATGTTATTACTATTATTATTATATTATTATTTATTACATTCATGGAGAAGTGCCAAATAATGGTCATACAGAACTTGGGGCATAAAAAGTAATTAAATTTGATCCAAGGGTAGGGAGAAGTATCTCCAATTCCTCTGATCAAGAGAATTTCACTAGCATTAATGCTTGTTCCTTGATGGATACTGAGAAATAATGGAATGATACATGGAAGAGACTGTAACAGCTACCCTGCTGCATATTGAGAAATGAATGCAGTACTGATGGACTGGTATTTTCTTGAAGAACCTTTGCTCATTTTAAATTCTTTATTTTCATCAAAATTGATCTCACTGTTAGCTCCATCCAGGGATGACTTTTTTTTTTATTTTTCCTGTGCCAGAATGTCATTATTTATTTTTTCCCATTTTCATAATAATCTCTTACATCCATCCTATCAGTGACATAAAATTTATATGTCCCCCCCCCCCTCATTTTTTAGTACAAAAATCTACAAAAAACATTTCTTCCCATTTAATTTTACAAAATATAGGTATGTATAGATATTGTAATCACATGCACAGTAATTTATTTCCACATGATTTAACAATGCAATTAATCTGTTTGAGACTACATACTTTATGCCCAGTTCTATATCAGTTGAATCATTATCCACCAACAACAATGCTACCATGAAAATAATTTTATTCTTACCATCAACAACCTTATCAACAGCTGCTCATGATGTATGTGTGAACTGAGAGACAGAGAGGAAAAATAAAAGCCATAACTAGGAGAACCTGTTACTTAATACCTTTCCAGTACACACTTACAAAATTTATGTCCACCTATAATTATAAATAAAATTAAGCATTTATTATGTTTAACCACCAAACACAGTAAGTGAGTGTGATATTCTGATTGCTTTGCATATGTGATAACCAAACCACCATAATTATGGATACTTTTCTTACAAAAAGAGTGATTGGAGTACTGCATCTCAGTTCAATAAGATTTCAACAAAAAGTTACCCTGATGATGAGGTTATCACGCCATAGCACTGAACACAAATATGAGAAGGCTTTGCAAATGATTCAGGTCTGAGTTACTTTCATGCCAAAAGTTTAAATGCACCCATGCTGTATTTTATGATCCATGTTGAGACCACAAAACCATATTATATCCAGCCATGCATTTACTTTGAGCTAGTGTTTATTGTAATCCATATCAAAGAGTGAAGGATGACATCCTCGGTGAATGCCTGGTCTTCCAACCTGGTACAACTATTTGCCCAATGTGTAATAAGCATCAGCTGAATGTGCTGCTGAAGGGTCATATGACTATGAAATTCACAACAATTCAATAATGATAAAAGAATGTACTGCATAATAATATAAAATTTATAGAGAAATAATTATAATACAATTGCCGATATTGTTAAACAATATGATTAGGGAAAGTCTTCAGGCTGTTGATCCTTGAATGACCTAATGAGCATTTTTATACCTTGATTTTATAATATAAAATGCTAAAAATTAAATTTATAAACAATAAAAAAATGTTAGTGTCTCATAACTCAGTGGTAGTGTGTTCAGCTCACAACCTAAGGTACACAGACTGAACCCTGGGCACAATGAGACATACGAGCATATCTCCCTATACTTGCTGTCCCTTTTACCATAAGCCAGTGGAAGACTATGATATGACCAAAAGCACCAGTTATCAGATCATCATATGACTAAGACCTGTCAGAAACATTCGTCATATTTCAAAGTAAATAAAATATTACCACTTGCTCCCTAGCAATAAATATATACCTAGGAATTAGTCAACTGTTGTGGGCTGCATCACAGGGAAGAACAATTAAAAATAAGCTTCAGTGGTTGACTTTCTTGGGTTATCCTGGGTTATTAATCCTCTGGGTGTACTAATTCAAATAGTTTTCTTTTTCCACCATATTTTAAATAAAGATCTTAATGTTTTCAGTTTTAGTAACATAGACTGGCAAAATTAGGAGAAATGGGAAGAAAGGTGACCAAATCATGAAATACTGTAAATCATTCTTAATTTTGTTAAGAAAATGTACATGCATACAAAATATTTTTTTTTTAAACACGTTGGCCATTTCCCACTGAGGCAGGGTGACCCAAAAAGAAAGAAAAAAACTTTCATCATCATTGAACACTTTCACCATCACTCATACATAATCACTGTCTTTGCAGAGGCGCTCAGATACGACAGTTTGGATGTCCCTCCAAACTGCCAATATCCCAAACCCCTCCTTTACAGTGCAGGCATTGTACTTTCCATTTCCAAGACTGAAGTCTGGCTAACTGGTTTCCCTGAATCTCTTTACAAAATATTACCCTGCTCACACTCCAACAGCTTGTCAGGTCCCAAAAGCCATTTATCTCCATTCACTCCTTCAAAATATTATTATTTAGGATTATATTGATTATAGCACAGGTGTCTATGGGAAAAATAGGTTCCAAATTATGAGGTATGAATGATTTTCAGAAACACATCTGGTCTGATAGTTGGGGACCCCTCTGATTATTCTATACAATTTATTAATAATTTTTACCTGAACTACAGCATTTCCCTTACTTTTTCCTGTAATGTTTGTTTTCTACATTATCTCCATAAATATTTTGTTTGAAAAAGTGATAAAAAATACATCACAATTCAACAGAAAACATGAAATAAACTGTAAACTTTAGATCATACAGGAATGTGGCTGAAAATCATGGGACAAAATCAATCCATCTGCATGAACTTATAGCACAAATAAACCACGGGGCTACAAATATACATTATTACACAATACATCTGCCAACAAATAGCTTTGATTTTAAAAAATAAAACTTTAAAAAGGTTTTGGAAATGTATGCTATTTACTCATCTTTTATAAATATTA